AGTCCGACTCGCCGCCACCCGCCACTCCTGCACTTCTTCGAGTCCCAGAGCTGCGGGTGCCTCACAGGAGGTGATCTCCGCAAGCTCCGAGGGCACAGGCGGAGGCGGCTAGTCGAACTCGTCAACCGAGGTACGAGCGCAGGAGCCCGACGACGACGAGGACAATATTGACGCGGATGAGGAGAAAGAGGAGCTGGAGGAAAGGGAGCGGGGATATGTATTCCAGAGGTGTCGACCCGAACCCCCTCCCAAAACCCTCGGAAACGTTGTTTTAGGAAGTAACCGGGAACATTGCGCCTAACAGCCACGGAGTCCGACGAATGCCATCGACAATTTTTGACGCTTCGCGTATCCCCGCTAGTCTTCCCCAGGCGGTAGGTTTTGTTGATGCCTGCGCGCGTCAGGCAATTAGTTCCGCTCGTAGCCCGAGCCGACTCGTGACGCCGCTGGGGCCTTCGCCTGCGGTTGCGACAAACAATTCTATCCCCGCTAGCCCATCCCAAACCGACGCCCAGGCGAGTTGAGACCAGCATAGTAGCGTAGTAGCAACATATGGGGACAGTCGTTACCGTTCAAGGAGGAGGAGGAGCAGGAGAAGGAGGAGGAGGAGGAGGAGGGATGATGGAGGGGGGAGAAGAGTGATGAATTTGCGGATGACGAGCAGGAGGAGGAGGAAGAGGAGGAAGAGGAGGAGGAAAAGGGAGAATAGAAGAGCCTCCTCGGATGTCGCTTGGAAGCTTGTTTGATACCTCTTGGTGCGTCTTGGGGGGCATATTGGCTGGCCCAGGGCCGTCTTTGAGCGTCTCGGGTGCCTCGGGGATCCTCTTTGGGTCTCTTAGGGGTCTCTTGGGAGCCTCTTGAATGCCTTTTGGGCGCCTGTTGGAGTTTGGAGTAGTCTAGGCGCCTCTTGGGAGCTCTAGGGGCGCTCTTGGAGCCATCTTGGAAGACATCGATACAACAAGAGTGGAGCTTCAATTTGCATTGCCCTCCGGGGGTGCCTATAATCGCCTCCTGGGGCACTCTTGGAGCGCTCTTAGGCGCCCTTGGGGCTGGCTTGGGGTTCGCTTGGGCCCCTCGTGGGGCCCTTCTGGGCCATCTTGGAGCCGTCTTGAGGCCTCGGATGGCCATATGAAGCAGACGCCAGCAACATTGATGTTCCCTAGATGTTTGAATGATGTCGGTATCGTAGGGGCCTCCTTGGGGAGCTCTTTGGCCACTCGGAGCTGTCATGAGACTGTCTTGGGGGCTCTGAGAGCTTCTTGGACGCCATCTTGAGCGATCTTGCGCTATCTGGAACCATCTTGGAGGCCACCTTGCACTCTCTGGGGCCCTCTTGGAGCCATCTTGGGCCATCTTGGACGCTCCAACTACCCGCGACCACCCCCGTCCAAGTCCAGGGGAGGAGATAGGGAGGAGGGGTGAACCCCTCCCCGAATGGGCAAAATGGGGGCTGGAAGAGAAAACTCCCTATACCACCTACGCCCAGAATGCTGCTGGAAGTTGATCCGCCATCTCTCCCCCTGCCCAGTTCTCTCCCCTCCTTCTGCAGCCCCGAACCTGCCCACAACAGCACCAGCAGCACACTGCTCCTTATATCTCCACTCCTTCCGTTCCTTCCTGTCCTCCTCCGACCTCTCTTACACCCCCCCCGCCCTCCACCCCTTCCTCGCTCCGCCCCTTCCGTCCCTCTCTCCCTCCCTGGTCCGGCGTTGGCTGGGCCAGGCCGGGGCCTCTCTTCGTCGCTCTTCCGCCCAGCAGCCTTGCTGAGCAGTCCGTGCCCGCGGAGCCACTCCTGGTCCGGAAGGGGCCACTCCACCAGCCAGCCAGCGTTCTCTCCCCCCTCCCGCCATCCCGCCCCCCCTCCCTCTTCCTCCTCCTCCTCCTCCTCCTCCTCCTCCTCCTCCTCCTCCTCCTCCTCCTCCTCTTCGCCGCACCTCCCGCACCCCCACCCCGCCTTCCGCGCCGAGGCTTTCCAGCGGCCTGGCGCTGTGCTTCACCTTCTTTCTCTGCGGCTGGGCGATGGCGCGGCGCCCCCCTCCGTCTGGCGACCGCGGCGCGCAGATCCCTTCCCCCGAGGGCGCCAGCTGCCTCACCACGGGTCGCTGATTGGTCGGTGGGTGGTCACTGACGGCACTGACGGCTGCTTCTCGCGAGTTGATGACCGATTGTCACAGGCAAGCCGCTCTAACATGAGCGGCCGTTCTTCCTTCCTTTTGCGCGCGCTGCGCGTCGTCCCCTTACTTGCGTGAGAAGCTTCGTCTTCGTCGATGGTGGCAGGCTCCCTGGCAAGGGCATCAGTCTCTGCTCCGTGGTTGGTATCAGCTGCGCTTGCAATGGGCACACAAGGACTGGACGAGGAAGGATCTGCCAACGGGGATCGGCGCCAGTAACATGTCCGCTACAGCATGTTATGTCTGTCCACAGTGGCAAACGGCAGCCCAAACGCCGTGTGCACTGGCCAGGCACCGCGAAACAACGAAACTTTCAACTTTCTTCTGGAACTCGCTTTCGTTTTTTGTAACGATCAACTGTCGGGTGGCCCGTCGTTTTCGTTGTTTGTATCTTCAACTCGCCAGAGCCGTTCGTTTATCCAATCGTTTTCTTTCGCCCGTACAATTCGATGTCCAAATTGAGTGCGGAAGCGCTGCGGCTTGCCCCCTCTAATTTCCGAGGTTCGTAATGTCATGTTACTTTCACATAAATTTGAATTTAATGTATGGATCGTTTTTGTTTGTAGATTTGTTTGTATCACGTTGTAGCTGAATTTCGTTTACATCTCGTTTGACATGCCGGGTTTCTACCTCCGATAATTTTCCAGCGGGCATTCGTTTTAGTTATCGTAACTCTTAATTTTCTCGCCTGCGTTCGTTTTCGTTTTCGAGTTTGGTTTTCTCGCAGTGCCGGGACAGTATCGTTTTGTTTAAGACCTGTCGCCCAGAGAACTGGCCAGCAAATCATACACTACACGCTGCCCTGATGCCTCAGTGTGCACACGCGTTGTCCCCAACGGAGGTCGTCTGGCAGAGTTTTTGCTGTGGGGTGGCGGAGGGGGAGGGTGCTCGGTTGCTGCGCGCTCGGCCGCCCTCGGCTGCTTTGTTCGGCCCGTCCCGCGCGTGGCAGCTTTCTGCCTCGGTCGGGCTGCGGCTTTGCTGTCGGGCCGGTCGGTTCTCCGCTTCCTGGTCTGGCCGGGGGCGGGCCCAGGGGGCGACGGGGCGGAGGCCACTCAAGAGGTTCTGCTCGTCCTCCTCCTCCCGCGCGCGCTTCCGCGCGCGCAGGGAACTGGAAAAGGAGGAGACGGAGGAGCACGAGGAGGATGACGAGGAGAAGGAGCGGGGAGGAGCGAGGAGGAGGAGGAGGAGAAGGACGAGGAGGAGGAGGAGGAGCGATGATGATGTTGATGCTGATGAGGATGATTATGATGATGGTGATGCTGATGAGGATGAGGATGAGGATGAGGATGATAATGATGAAGATGATGGTGATGATTATGGTGATGGTAATGGTGATGATGATGATGATGATGATGATGATGATGATGATGGTAATGATGATAGTGAAGGTGATGGATGAGGATGCATATGAGAGCGACGATGATGATGACGATGATGATAAGGAGGAGGAGGAGGAGGAGGACTGGGCTGGGGATGGGGATGGGGATGATACTGATGAAGATTATGATGATGATAATGGTATGCTGACGCTTATGCTGATGCTGATGCTGCTGATGATGATGCCGATGAAGATGATGGTGATGATGATTGTGATGATGTTGGTGATGTTGTTGATGCTGATGGTGATGATGATCATGGTGATGAGGATGGATGAAGTTGCGGACGAGGAAGAGGATGTGGATGATGATGAGGATGGGGATGGGGATGGGAATGAGGATGAGCATGAGGATGCTGATGGTGAACATGCTGACGATGATGATGATGATGATGATGATGATGATGATGATGATGATGCTGATGCTGATGCTGATGCTGATGCTGATGCTGACGATGATGATGGTGATGCTGATGATGAGATGCTGATTATGCTGCTGCTGCCGCTGATGATGAGGCTGATGATGCTGATGCTGATGCTCAAGATGGTGATGATGCTTACGATGATGCTGATGATGCTGCTACTGCTGATCATGATGTTGATGCTGATGATGGTGATGGCGATGGTGATGACGATGAGTGAATTCTAGACGCTTCGCGTATCCCCACCAGCCCATCCAGAAACGACACCCAGGCGAGTAGAGGGTCGTCCTGAGGGGCTTGTCGGCGTCTTGGGTGCCTCGGGGGGGCCTCTTTGGGCCGCTTGGGATCCTCTTGGGGGCCTCCTGGGGGCCTCGTGGGGCCTCTTGGGGCCATCTTTGGGCCTCTTGGGGCCTCCTGGGCGCTTCTTGGGGCCATCTTGGAGGACATCGATCAAAGAAGAGGGGAGCTTCAATTAGGGTTGCCCCCTCAGGAGGCCAAAATGGGTCCAAAACCTTAGTAAACTTAGCCTGGCGAAGGACCCAACCATATGCACTTGTGAATACCGCAATTGTGAATACCATCTTCGCCCGCGCTCCCTATGCGGCCACGGCTTCCCGTCGGAACCCGAAGTGCTCAGGAACACGTTCGTGGCCGTCTTAGCGGGCGCCGACGACGACAAGGACGGCATCCCCGCGACCGAGGAGCAGAAGCAGGAGAGGGCTTTGAGAGCCATGAGGGAGGAGGTGGCGTTGCACGTCGACAAGGCGGAGTACGACGCCCAGGCGCGGTTGTTGAAGCAGCGCAACTATGGGGCCACGATCCTCGTGAGGGGTGTGCCGACATGGCCCGAGGCCGCCATGCGAACTTTGCCAGTGGCGCCTTAGGTGGAGCTCCTATGGGGCCACGATCCTCGTGAGGGGTGTGCCGAAATGGCCCCATGCGAACTTTGCTACTGGCGCTTTCGGTCGAGCTCATACGGGGCCACGATCCTCGTGAGGAGTGTGCCGAAATAGCCCGAGGCCGCCATGCGAACTTTGCCACTGGCGCCTTCGGTGGAGCTCCTATGAGGCCACGATCCTCGTGAGGGGTGTGCCGACGTGGCCCGAGGCCGCCATGCGAACTTTGCCACTGGCGCCTTCGGTGGAGCTCCTATGGGGCCACGATCCTCGTGAGGGGTGTGCCGACATGGCCCGAGGCCGCCATGCGAACCCTGCCGCTGGCGCCTTCGGTGGAGCTCCCTATGGGGCCACGAAAAGCTGCGCTGGGTGGGCGAAACGCAGGGAGGAGGGAGGGGGATAAGGAGGAGGAGAGGAGAGGAGGAGGAGGAGGAAGAGGAGGAGGAGGAGGAGGAGGAGGAAGAAGAGAATGCGGGGCGACGTCTCTTCAAAACGAGGACCCAACACCACAGTATGGTTGGGCATCAATGACTTTGGCTTCCTCGCCGAGGCCGTTTTGGACGTTCTGGCCGCTCGCGGCCCCCCCCGTCCAGGCCCATGGTGAACGCAGGGGTAAACCCCTCCCCGAAGGGGAACAGGGAGGGGTGGAAGACGAAACGCCCCAAACCACCGATGCCCAGAGGGCTGGTGGGATTCGTCCGATTTGCCAGGATGCCCCGCCAAGCCCAAGTGTTGGGGTGCAGCGTGTGGCGAGGCCCGAAAGGGCATCTGCACGTCACGCGATTGGGAACTCTCCCTCGCGCGCCCCTTTTCGGCCCGGCCCTGCCTGAAAAGGCTGCGCGTGGGGGGGGGGGTCATGAAGGCAAACCTGCCTGGGTCCAGACTGGAAGGCCCTCCGAATCAGCGCGCCCCATCGAGCCCTCGCCCCCTGGCGCGCCCGCCACCCCTTCGCAGGCCGCCCCGCGGCTCGAGGGTGCTACCCCCCCCGCCCCGCCCTCTGTGCCCCGCGTTGGGGCCGCCGCCCGCGGCGGACGGGGAGGGCGTCGACGAAATGGGAGGACGGCGCGGAACGCGGAGGAGAAGCGAGGGCGAGCGAGGACGAGCAGGGAGGACGAGCAGGAAAAAAGAGGAGGAGGAGGAGGAGGAGGAGGAAGAGGAGGAGGAGCGAGGAAGAGGAGCGAGGAGCGAGGAGCGAGGAGGAGCGAGGAGGAGGATGAGGAGGAGGAGGAGGAGGAGGAGGAGGAGGAGGAGGAGGAGGAGGAGGAGGAGGAGGGGAGGAGGAGGGGGAGGAACGAGAAGGATGAACAAGGAGGAGGAGGAGGAGGAGGAGGAGGAGGAGCGAGGAGCAGGAGATGGAGGATAGGAGAAGGCCCTCGGAGGTCCATGGTCTCCAGCCTCTTGTGAAACCTTGGAGGGCCCCTGGGAGTCATGTGGAAGCAACCCCCCGTCGGCCCGAGGAACTGCCTGGGGCGAGGCGATGCGGGGGGCTGCCTACGCGGGCCCCCCGTGTCTCTGCCCCGCTGCAGGGGCCCCGGCACCGCAGAGCAGCTGTGGGGAAAAGGCAGGAGCCTGCCGCTGCCTCGACTGGCGGGCGGCAGGCTCTGAGGGCCTCCACTCTCCACCCCTCCCCCTGCTCTCCCACTCCACCCTCCCCTCCCTGCAAGAAGGCAAAACAAAGAGGCGGCCCGGTGCTTGCTGATCTCGCCAGCTATCTCTCTCCCGCTCGCTCCTCGATCTCCCTGCCGCTGCTGGTATGAATGTGCCGCACTTCGCTGCGCGGCTGAGACGGCTTAGCAGGCTCCATCAAGGAAACGATTGTCACGGAGTTGGCTGCGATCTCTGTGCTGTGCTGCTCACTCTAGCTCTGAGACGCCGAGCCCTCGGCCATTATTAGTGGCGACTGTCTTCGTGAGCCTGGCATCTCCGCTCCGCTCACTCTGTTAGTGGTCGGTGCCTCCGTCAATACGAAGGGTGCGAGGTACGCCCAAAGAGGTGAGCGCAAGAGAGCTCGATGGCAACGAGGCAAGAACAAAGAAGGGGGAATAGGCGGCCTTGTATTTGATGATCGAGCACGCTCTCTCTCTCTCTCTATATATATATATACATACACATATATATATATATATATACACATACTTGAATAGGTAAGTGCTGCGCC